ACACATACAGCAGATTACCTGTACTTTATATACACATACAGCAGATTACCTGTACTTTATATACACATACAGCAGATTACCTGTACTTTATATACACATACAGCAGATTACCCGTACTTTATATACACAGGACAGCAGATTACCTGTACTTTATATACACATACAGCAGATTACCTGTACTTTATATACACATACAGCAGATTACCTGTACTTTATATACACATACAGCAGATTACCTGTACTTTATATACACAGGAAGCAGATTACCCGTACTTTATATACACAGGAAGCAGATTACCCATACTTTATATACACATAAAGCAGATTACCTGTGCTATCGGCTGCAATGCCTTTGTCAAGCCATCCAGTCGACTTACTGGTAACTTGTGGTGTATATGGCTTAAAAGTTCAATCATGTGGCGAACAACATTCTCTCTTGTCATTCCTGTGAGGAAAAACTCATCAAACACAACAGTGCAAAAATCTTCAGCTGCAAATTCATCTGCAAGTGGAATCAATACAGCAACAAGACTGTGAAGAAATGGGTCTTCAAAGGCCCTGTCACTCTCACAATTGGCTAATGTTCCTAACACTCTCATTAGTCCTTGACGATCTTTTTGACGAGCTGAAATAAATATTTAAAACTACGTTGATCACAAAAAGTAAGCTTTATACATTAAATAACAACCAAAAGTATTGGGTAATATGTAAGAGCAATTCTTTAATCTTTTTATTAACATTTCTCTGCTCAGTAGAACTAACCATATGGCTAAGTTTGCTTAAAAAAAAGTACCAAAACATTGAATATTATTTCCAAGTTTCCAAATTTATTTCACATTCATATCAAGACTGTAGCTGCTTTCCAGAATCCCAGGGCTACCTAAAGTTTTAGATAATTATCAACACTCCAGCCCATTTCCCAGAATTCCAGGGTTACTACCTAAGGTTTCTCATATTTATAAACACTCTGGATGTTTCCCAGAATCTCAGGGCTACCTAAAGTTTCATATTCAATTTAATCCTTTCAAGACAGGTTGAGGTGAAAGCCATGTCATCTTGCATTAAAAATTTTATTGAACTACTATTTCATGAATTTATGTTAATAACTTTGGTATCAAACTGTAGATTATAATTCAAATTTTAGTACTATACCTTACTAAATTTCTTAATTTAAAAGTAAATATTAAAAAAACACACAGATAAAGATCATATTTTTGTGTATCATGTGGTATGATGAATGCAGCACTGGTTCAAATTAGATGTTTGTAAAGTCAAAATACTAAGACTATAGTTTCGTATGAATTAGAAACTCAAATTACCAATATTGACAAACTAGAATATAAAATAAGAAGGTATTATCTTTTCAATTTGCTAAGATATTTCTCATGTAATAAATCAAACACAGTAGCACACTGCCCACCTCTTTCCACTTTTGGAAACATTCCCTTATATACACTTACTTCTATATATGACAAGAATAACAAATCGAAAGCTCAGAATGTCCCCTAGTGGCTTTCTCAGCAATTTTAACATTCTTAGCACCGTTTCTTTCATTTGAACCAATATTTCAATGAGGTAGGGTGTGTCTTTAGTCTGCTCAAAATTTCATATTTTTTTTACCTAAAATAGATCTTAGTTACTAAGCTTGATAAATTATAGTGGAATTCTATGGTATTGATGTAGCAATTTATGATTTTTTAGTTATTCAAATGTATAAATATAACCAAAAAATTTTTTTTGTTTTATATCTTCCACATGCAAGATTTTTAAAGGCTTAGCAACCTATGTCAAGCAGCAACCGAGTACAAAGGTCATAACTAGAAGGGATAATTGTTTACTTTACTTCTTTATTTACTGTTCTATGTTCTAAGAAAAATGAGATTAAGAAATTATTTCAAAATAGCAATAATCTATATACATATATAATGTATAATAAGTCAAATGTGACTGTATTTTATAAAATACTAGTCTACTCAAACACAGCCAAGACAAGTTACTTTGTACAGACCAAAGGTCAGTTTTAAGTTATTTGATATGGTAATATTAGTGCACGTGAGCCGCGTCATTGTAACTTCTGTATTGTTAGCCAAGCACAGCTGAAAGGTCAATATAATAAAAATAATAAATATATATAAATGTAAGATGTTATGAGATCAAAGCTATTTAGTCTAAACATTTATGTTTTTGTGTTATAATTTGTGTTCATTCTAGAAAGAAAGAGGCATAATTTATATTTATTTCCAAATTTTTTATGGTGTTTGCGAGATCTGTCAAATCTACTGAACCAGTACAGAGATTAATTACTGAAAATAACAGATAAAATATAAAGTTTTTCTTAAGAAACGTTTGATAACTATCTGGACATTATAAAGATTTCACATGTGAAATCTGAAAATTTTCTGATGCATAAAAGTATTTTTAATCTTAAAATGAATATTACATTGCATGATAGATAGGCAACATGTGAAAAGGCATGAGAAAAACATTGCTTTACAAATAAAAGCATTGTAATGTTTACTGATAATTTTGTTAACATTCGCTTACTAATTTAAAAGTTATAGCATGAAAACTATAGCAAGAACAAAATGGTTACGAGGTCCCATGCTGAAAGAGTTAAGAGAATAAACTATAGAAAAACGTACATAATTTCCATCATTAGAGAGAAAATTCAAAATTAACTGAAAAGAACATCATAATACTTAATTCTGTTGCTTAGTTTAAAAATGAAAGGAGGAAGTTTGGAGTGGGTAATGCCACTGTTAGTTCTTACATCTAACAGGATAACAAGGGGTTAAAGTATTCTAGTAAAGTAAACTATAAGTTATTGTGTATATATTGTATATATTAATTGAATGTAAAGCCACAGTTAGTTTTTAAACCTAACAGGTATAATAAAGTGTTAAGTTACTCTAGTAAACTAACCTGTGTGGAGAGTGTAATACATTGCTATTATACTTGCTACTCCATTTTCTTGTAAATATGCTTGATACGCATCAGGTGGAGGTCCAGAATGTTCAATAGTTGTGATGGCAGTTTCTCTGTCATCAGGAGGTAGTTTAGAGTTCAAGCTTCGTACCTTTACATGATACAAAAGTGAGATACAGTTTGAATACTAAGATTAAAAAATTATAGTAATAACAAAATTATCCGAGTATAAATTTTCAACATAGTTGTAGAAAAAGTTAATATTTTCCTACACTGAAAATGTATTTCTGATTGATACTTACCTTCCTCTTACAAATAGCTTTTCTTGATTTATACTGCCCTCTATATGCTCAAATTTTCAATCACCACTAGCCCTGAAACTCCCACCTACCCTCACGTTTATTCACTTGAGACATCTGTATACTATCATGCATTAACTTTCCACCAATAGGAGTGAGACATCATCACTAGCACCCTCTCTTCTATTTAGCCCATAATCACTTTGAGATTGGGCAGTACATACAAAATCGACATTAGAAGTGAAGAGGTCGGGTGAGAAATGTGAATGGAGGTATTTATTGAAAATACATTTTCAGTGTAGGAAAATGTTAATTTCCAAGAGACAGCACCACTTCTCAGCCAGATATACTCTTTGCCCATGTGAAAATGTGTCACAATAAGGGCAGAATCACAAGAGAGACACCCTGCATAATCAGATGTGCAAGTCTCAACACAACCATTACTATATCTGCCAGGAACCAACACCCGGTGGACAGCAAAGTGGGCGTGTATTTCCAGTCCAGTACCAGGCAGCATTGGAAATATATTGTCTAGTCCATGGCAGGAGGAGGATACACACATGTGATATTAAGGGGCCCCAGGTATAGAGTGGCTAGAGTGCTTCAGAACATAAATGGGAGATTGACCTTAACCAACATCAGTTGAACCATGATAGGAATAACTGGCCCAAGGTAACAGGCCTTTCACCTCGAATACAGGAACTGGAAGAAAAGATGAGCCTCTGTGTCAACAAAAAATCACCTTATCCACAAGGAACCAACATCCGAGGAGGGATGATATGAAGGTGGAAAGCAATGTTGGGGTGCACCTCCAGTCCAACACTAGGCAGCATTGGTAAGGTATCATCCAGTCCACAGTAGGAGGAGAGCACCTGGCCATACATGTGAGGACTTATGTGGCTGGTCCAGCTCCAACCATCCCCATATCTGCCTGGAAATTGACATCCAGGAACATTAGAAAGGATGGTGTCTCAGCCAGAGGAGCAAACTGCATGTTGGCAGAATGCATTGGTCATTACCTGATAGCATCTATAACTGTACATTAGGTCTGCAGTAAGGTGAGCTTTTATGGCATCTACACGGGCAGAACCTCACTGCCCTAGTCTCAAATGAGTGAAATTGAGCACACTCAGTAGGAAACCTCCATGATCCACCACACCAGCGGCGGAACTGGTAAGTGACAAGGACTCCCATACTCCACTAGAAGAAGGGGGAACAGTGCATTAGAGGGTCTGGAGGAACGCTGCACTAGAGACAGTGCAATTATTGACCAAGATACCATATTTTGAAAAGCAGACCGATCCTGTGACCTACAATACACAGATCATCAGGAATGGGAATCAATCTCCACCTGCTTTATTAGTGTTAGTCGATGAGTGTACAGTCTGAGGTGAACATTTTTATGAAGTAAAATACCATGAAGAATACCTACAAGCAGTCGTACAGAACAACTCATCTCAATGGTGGTTATGTTTGATACATTGGACTTATGGTATGGATTTAAGAATAAGTATACCTGGTCAGGCAACACTTGCAACAAACGTCCCCTTAAAGAAAAAATGGAAAAAGGTGCACTTATCCACTCATAAAAAAATCACAGAGAACAAATTGGTGACAGGATGAAGACGAAAACTCCTACAACAGGAAACGGCCATGAGGGGAAGATAATGATTAGTGAAGGTATGAGGAGTGGTCCACATACTGGAACAAATGATGTCCTCCAACAGATGATGGAAAAGAACAGCCTGAGATATGGTAAGAATATAGATTTGATGTGAAGAGACACGGAAAGAACTACAAACATCCAGTGAAAGGGAAGAATAAGCCAGTCAAAGATGCTGGCGAATCCAACTTGTAAGGAGAAAAGGTCACAAGACTGGGAGGGATTCCAAGGAATAAACAAATGGGAACCATGGAAGGAAACATTGTGCACTAGGTAACAGTGGAAAGATCTGACTGGACAGAGGAGGTGAGCAGGGTCGGAACAGTCATAAAACTGTGATATGAAGGGAAGGGAGATGGGTGTGAGGGCAGAATTTCCCTCCTAAGCAGCCAAAGTTTTGGGCAGGAAAAACGATCGGAGAAAAGGATCACATGGGAACAGTAAAATAAAGTGAGGTAGATATCAATAGTGAACACGTGTGATCGACAACGTCCACCCACTAACAGGAGGAGGAAAAGGGTTTGTAAAGAGACGTTAAGAGAGCAAAACCTCACACGTAGTGGGAGAAGGAAAAAAGGAAAGGCCGAGAATTATAAGCTCCATAGCCCTCAACTGAAGGGGAAAAGGTTAGGCCCACCTCATTAGGGAATGGAACAACACCCCAAGATGAATTAGATATTGCACTGGGGTGAAGATTTCTCCACCTACACCCGAGACACTTCTCTTGGGAGAAACTGAGTATGAAGGGCAGAGTCGGCCTATGAGGAAGCTAGAAGAAGATGGGCAAATGCCAAAACCACGTGATAAAAAAGTAGGGAGCCGAGGCAAATCTGAAGGTGAAAATCACACCCTTAATGGACAAAACAAAGATAATGTCTAGATGCAGAAGAGATGGGAATGTATAGGTATGCATCCAATACATCGACCTTTGTCATCCACGGACCAGGATTGAAAACCCAATGAAGGGCTAAGTATGACTCCAATGTGAAACATGGGAGAACCAAGAAGCAGTTAAAAGCTGAAAGACTGATGACAGGGTACTATTTTGCAGGTTTCCTGGGGACAACAAACAGATGGGAATAAAGACATAGAGGAAGGAATCCCCCTGAACATTGGCATCTTTGCAAAGTAAGTCTTGAACTGCATCTGAAAGCCACAGGTGGGAAGCTGTCCCTCTGGACCTGAACCCCATTGTAGTCACTGAGATCTTCTGTTAACCCTAGGACAGTGCCCCATGAAGTGATAGCAAACCTCAAGAATAAGAGAGGCCAGTTCCAGTAAGGGAGAGGAAGAACGAGGGTGAGATACAAGAACAGGTTCAGTAGGGGGTGGGAGAAAAAGGAGTTAAAGCAGGAAAGAAAGGCTTGCAAAAGTGCAGACTCAACTTCAGTGTGCAAAAAGTCAAGAATGCCCAGTAAAACCTCGTGGCGCAGAAAAGGAACCATTCGCAAATCACACAATAAGGATGGAGGCAAATGCACCCTAGACAAAAGGGCTTCCTGATCCAACAACAGAAAAGCCAGAAGAGGAGAGGTGTACCATAGTGAAAAATTGCAGATTCTGAGCCGATTTCAGGAAAACTGTAGCTGGGAGAAGGAAAACCAAAGTATTGAGGTCCGAATCCCACAAAGGGACAAACAACCCGAATCACTGTAAGTCGAAGAAAGGTAACAAAAATGAAGATATGCCAAGGCATGCACATCTAGAGGATGTGGGAGTCACATAGCATACTCACTCCTTAATGTAACTGGTCACCAAATTGATCCACATGAGCCCTAATATCCAGTGAGAGAGAGAAAACACTAGATACTGTCCCACTGGCCCATCACTGAATAGGGCAGGTGAGGAATTGTAGGAAACAGGAGACAAGCAAAGATTATAACATACCTGATTGATTAAGTCGACAGAGGGAGAAGGAGGCAGTCTCCCACAATGAATCACAACTGTGAGACATAGGCAGGAGGAGGAAACAGGCTACCCAAATCCTCATTACCATGTTCAGGCATACCTGCACATGGTATGAAAGGACTATCATCAGGTGACACAGAAGACCGCATAATGATAACTAACACCCTTCAAACCAGAGCCATTACTTCCTAAGGTAATAAAGCTTGTCCTAACATTATTGAAGTGGCAGGAAGATCAGCTGTAGCAATCACAACAGCAGTGGTAGTTTCAACTTCTAGCTGTGAGATCATGACTAGTGGAATTAAAAAAAAAGGAGAATGGAAGCTCCAAAAGCAATTTCAAAACAGTGAAAACTCGAAAAAAAAATATGGCCTTAAAAAACCTGGAAAAAAAAAGAGCCCTCGAACAATATTCAAAACTTGAGCCAAATTTTGACAGAACTATTCAATGAAAACAATCAGTAGAAAAGCACAAGTGAAAACATGACCTAGCAGTACGACTAATAATCGAAAAATGATTATTGGTGGCACACAAGAGAGAACACTAGTGACGATAGGAGTTGTACTGCACTCCTACTGGTGGAGGGTTGCTGCATAATCATTTGCATGATAGCATGCAGATATCTTACGTGAATACAAGGGTAGATGGGAATACAAGGCTAGTGGTAAGCAGATTTAAACATATAGAGGGCAGTATAAGTTGAGAAAAGCTTGAGTGAAATAACACATTGTATTGGAATATTAAAATATTGGTAGGACTATAATGACTTATATATATATGTGTGTGTGTGTGTGTGTGTGTGTGATTAATAAACCCAAATTCAGATATCCATAAAAAATCCAACTTTTAGTCAGGCTATACGTTTAGTATAATAAAAATGGGTTTAAGAAAATCAGTTGTACTTTAATAAAAGATACATATTCAATGCTACACAAGCCGATATTATTATACAATTTTACAGTCACTCAAGATTTATAACAAAACACAGACACAAGATCAAGCAGCCTGATGCTACCACACTATTTTACAAACAGTCTCTTGTCTCAAGGTTTATTACAAAACATACACATACATACAACTACACAACCTGAATGTTACTATACTATTTTAGTCTCTCCTCTCTCAATATTTACAATAAAACAGTGACATATGACCACATATTCTAAATGTTATCGCATTATTTTAAAACAGATGTATAACAAAACACTGACATACAACTACACACTCTGAATGTTACCACAGTATTTTACAAAACCTCAAGATTTATAACAAAACACTGACATATGACTACATATCCTAAATGTTACCATGGTATTTTAAGTCTCTCAAGATATATAATAAAACACATATACAACTACACACCTTGAATGTTACTATACTTTTTCAAAACATCTCAAGACTTGTAACCGAACACAGACACATGATGTTCATACTCTATTTTAAACATATCTCAAGATTTGTAAAAAACATACAAACAAACAAACACTATTTTAAAACAGTTTCTCTAGATTTATAAGAACACTCAGACATAAGACTATACAACATGATGTTACCAAACTATTATAATCACAGTTGCTCATACACAGAGTGTAAGTCTGCTGACATATATTTAGAAGAAAAAATGTAATGTAATGTATGTACAAGTAATCTGAATGAAAAAGGTTAAAATACATATTTGTTCTGAATTAATCATTAACTTTTAAAAAATTACCATTAACTTCTTTAACCAGGTCTCTCAACATTCCAATTTACTAGATAACAAATAGTACAAGGGATTATTTGTTGTAGAAATAGAGATGTCAGGCTTAGTTTATTGTTTCCATAATTGAGCAGTCATTTCTATAAATTGAAACAAAAACTTTACTATCTCCAGGTATCTGATTGATGTTTTTTTTAAACCTTGTAAAATTTTTCTTTCAATACCACTAAATATACTTCAATGATTGTAAAACTGTGTAATAAAAACATGTTACAAAGTTTAGATGTTTAAAGACTAAAGAATTATTACTGAATTTTAATACTGCCATAATACTAAACTCCTAAACACTATTAATAAATAGATCTGGATTTTTTAACAAATTACTTTTCTGGTAGCTTTCATAATGTTAAAACAGCAGTACTAAAGAATAATATACTCACTAGCTGAAAAACGTATCAACAAAGTTGATTTTATGATTTGAATAAAAGAATCAAAAGTATTTAAAAACTGTTAAGTGTCTTACAAACATGTACAAAATGAGAGTAAAAAATAGGAAAAATTATAAATTTTTAAAATTTAATAGATGACTGAAACACTTTACAGTTCAAGAAAGCATATACCAATTACCTGGTCATCCACCATCAGGGACATAACTGCTGGAAGAAATTTAGTTGCCACCTGTACATCCTGTGAAGAAATAACCATATAAAGCTCATGTTAAAATAAAACATGCTTCTTGGAGAACAAATTAAGAAACATATTAGGTGCAGAAATAAAATTCTGCTTCCAAGGAATTTTGGTAAAGTATACTGTACTGGATTTGAAGTCTTTAGAAACTGTATCTACCTGAAGTGCTTGTGACGAAGATAAAATCATTGTCCATTGCCAAACTGCCGGCACATACAGTCTATAAAATCCAATACTGAGACAACTTTTATATCTCAATATTAAAGACACACATAATAATAATAAAGATAAAGCACGTATAAACAATTTATATTTTCAGCTCAGTATTCTTAGTATGTAAGTGCCGCAGAGCAAATGTTTTTATACATTAACCAAAAAATATAAAAAATTAACAAACAATGTTTGTAAACACTTATTAAGGAAATTTTACAGCCAATTATACTGGATGAAAAAACAACCTTAAAACACACACACACATGCAAAGACTGATAAGTATAATAATGTTGTTTTTTTTATTTTATAAAGACAAGTAGGGATTGATATATATTTAACCTAGCTAGTTATAGTAATATATAAAGTCAAAACTATAAAAACTGAGTTAACTAAAATTTAAAAAATGTTATCCCTACTTTGGCAGATCACTATAACTATGTTAGTCTGAGCCAAAGGGACGAAATTTGATTTTCTTGTTTCAATACTTTTTGTAGCATTAGAACTTTGTATATTACTGTAGCTAGCTAGGTTACGTATGTATCAATCCTTACTTGTATTTATAAAATTAATTTTCTTTTAAATATTCTTGTTTGTTTCCTTTTATTAGCTAGATTTTTGTGCACCAGCAATATCAAGCGTGAGGAGTGTGTATCCTGAATCAATTTTATTACTTATCAGGATCTCTACCAACCTACCCTCACATCTAACTGTATGCCCAAAGTAGTGCATCACCTGTTCTATATACATATACTAGTATCCCTTTCGATACACAAAAGGAATCACTGTACTCCAGACAGAAGAGTTCTGTGAAAGAATTAAAGCAATATGGTTCGTCATTTGTTCTGTATATTTGTTTGGAAAAGTCACTTACTTATATGAAAATTTACTGAAATAGTGAAATTTTGATTTACTCTATAAACACGTATATAGTGATTTAGGCAGCTTTAGTTTTACTCAGTCAATACTGTGAAATAGTCATTGTTAATATTCAGATATTTTAAACGTGATTTTAAACTGGCAATTTTTATGGCTCCATTTTGTTTCATCACAATCCTTACAATCAAGTATTACCACACATTTTCTTCTTCACAAGAAATCTTTATAGTAGCATAACACCACTGTAGAGATATCTTGTAAATGGAAACAAACAGGATGGGTGTTTCAATTACAGCAGTATATAATGTCTATGTAGAAATATCTCGTAAATGAAAACAAACAGGAGGTATGTTTTAAATACAGACATCTTTTAAGCTTGATAAACTGGAATTATATTTCTATGGTATAGTAATGAAATGATGTCAACAAGTGTAACGTCAGATTAACATAATTTAAGGTAATTTTAAGCTTGCTTAAGTAGCATTATATATCCATGGAACAGTAAATATGTCTTGTCAGCAAATGTAACATTAGAGTAACTTAATAGACATATTTTAAGCTTGCTAAACTAGCATTATAGCATGGAATAGTTATCTCTGTTGTGAGTAAATTAAAGACTAGTGAGTGTTTCTGGACTCCTACAATCTTTAAACAGTTAAAACTGTCTTAACTTCATATTGTGTTTTACACAAGCATAAAATAAAATTAGTGTAACTTAAGACAGTTTTAACTATCTAAAGATTGTGGGAGTCCAGACCTCTCACTAGTCTTTAATTTTCTCTAAACAGAGATATACAACCAAATTGCATGAAACAAGGTAGAAACTATAATTTTTCTACACTGAAAATTTCATTTCTGATAGGTAATTACCTCTTCTCACACATATAGTTATTCTCATTCAGTACTGCCCTCTATATGCATGCCACGAGCCTTGAAACCCCATCTATCCCACAATCCATGTGATTCACAGCATCTTCACATGTAAATCATCATGCAACAACCCTCCTGACACAGCCTTCTGACGCATGTGACTCCCTCTATTCAATTCTACCTAACTATCACTTCAAGATTAGGAAGAAAACATGCATCGGCTTTAAATGTGGAATGTGAGAGGAGGTAAGTACCTATCAGAAATAAATTCTTAGTGTATGAGAATTATAACTTCTGATACAGTATCTTACTTTCTCTTCAAAATATAGCTAGAATCCCATATTGAGCTGGTGAAGGGACTGGTGTGAGGGACATATATAAGTATTCTTCAAAAGCATCCAAAGAACACTCATGAAATATGAACCCCCGTTGGGAGAGGAACATACATGGGAGACCTAATCACTTCTGAACCAGGTATAATCTTTGCCATGTGTGGCATTTCATTGTATAGGTCACTGGTTAGGCCATTTAGAATATTGTGTTCAGTCTTGGGCTCCTTACCTTAGGAAATACATTGAATTATTGGAAAGGGATTCAGAGAAGGGGGTAACTAGAATGGTGCCTGAGATGGAGGGGTTATCATATGAGGAGAGGTTGAGATCTCTCAAACTGTTTTCTCTTGAAAAAAGAATAGTT